TATGCGGCCAACCTGTCCCATTGTTTCCCACGTGTGTTTTTGGTTATTTTGTATATTTGTTTTTGTTGATAAAAAAGTTATATTATTGGCTGAGAACATATATGTGTATGAGTTGACCCTAATTCAAGTAATATTATATCATTATCTGCAATTAGTGATAATTGAGAGTAATAGTACGAAGAGATGGTGGCTTCAACAAAATCGGAGGTATTATGAAAGAACAAAAGGTAAATTGACAAAGTTAACTTAATCCAATTCTTCTTTTAATAAATCCATGTAAGAACTCCACTTAACACTTATTTAAATTTGAAGAAATGGTTAGAAGTATAATACGACAGATGTTTATACTTAAATCACTGGTTTCTTTTACTTGAATCGTTCCTCAATTGCTTTTTTTTTTTGAAAATATGTAGAATAGTACGAGGTTAAGGAAAATATGTTTTTCATAATCTCTTTTATAATTAGGTTTACTTAGATAAATAGATCATAGTAAAATGAGATTTTGATCGGAGTAAACATTCACTTTGAAAATCATTATCTGGGAAAAGTAATGCAAGGTTGAATAGATCAGCATCAAGCTTTTGGAAACATCAAAGGTTTTATGAATAAAAGACAAATTGCATTGTCAGATTCAACCATCTTAGTTGAATGCATAAAATTGAGCCATAATCTCTCTTATCAGAATACATTGAACTGTGTGGCATATGGATATCCAATGAATTTACCTATACAACAACGTATTCAAACATTGATTTACTTTCCTCACCAAAGTTCCATTTCAAGATGCAAGGGCTTTAAATGTTAAAAAGGCTAACATGAACACATTAATGCTTGAATTAGGTAAATTGTGATATTACAGGTTTCAAATAGCTGCCTCAATGAAGTTTATTCAGAAACCTGAGAAATTTTCTGAAAATAAAAAGCTAACAAAAAAAACAGTGTATTTCTATTAGTTTTTGTTTCCAATAAATCACTCGGCAATGGAATCCAGTCATGAATTTCTAACTCAGTATGAAGATGTTGTTCGGTATGAAGAATTCCATTAACGTTTTGCCGTCGCCAAGCATGAGTTATGTCTTTATGCAGAAGGGTTAGAGGACATCACCTAAAAAAACAGTGCCACACAGTTACTTCCATGCACGAGCTTCTGAATATTTCATTTGTCATTTATGTGTAAAACGATAAAACTTCTTACCTCTCATGCGTGACATATTGTAATGTCTTTACTGTGAAAGATTAGTTGATTGATCAGCAGCGTCATCCTTGATTTCGATGCATTGAGACAACATACCTTATTATAGGAAATATTATTTCTGAATAGCATGTCTCTGCAACAGTTTTTAAATACGTTATCAATTGTACATCCAGATATTAATCATAATGAAAATTGTGTTGTTTAACTCTATCACGATAAGCAAAAATATTAATATTTATACTTAGGAACACGATATAAACATATCTTGAAACTGAACAAAAAAATACAATAGAAAATAAAGAAAAAACACATGAAATTCACAGTATCACTATATATTCAGAGAATCGTCTAGATGATTTCAAACTGCGCATGAGCTCGTATTTCATTCTGACTGGATAAGGGTAACAGAAATAAAGTTGATAACAGATTTGTAAGTCGAATAATTGAAGTGTAATCTGATATATAGAAATTATGTATCGATGTAGGGAAGGGAATCCCATCAAGTGTTTGTGAAAATGAAAGAAAGAAACATTCACAAAGCGAAAGCATAAACTAAGAGCAAACCTCTGGGATTGAAAATGTTTACCTGTTAAAAAAATATGAATGAGGATGAAAATTCTAAGTGTTTTGACTGTGTTAGGTGAATATTGGATGTATTTATAACCACAGAAAAGTTTTGAAAATCACAGAAATAATTGCAATAAGCGAAGAAATATAGATTTTAAGATAATTAAAGTTATTTACAGCTGTTGTATCTCAGTCTCTACTTTGGCTTTTATGTATAAAACGTTAGAAAGCTGTAACGCACAGTGTGAATTTAAATCTCAACATTGCATGCCTGCCATTTCACTTTGGCTTTTATATAATTCATTATTATCTCAAACTGAACTCATTATAGAAAAGGACAATTTTTTAATTATTTCCTCAAGACAGTCTGACGAGATAGCAATGCATGGATGCTTTTCTCAATAAAACATAAAACGTTGCAAACAAATAATAAATCACATCTATAATATTGTTATTATTAATTTAATCAAATAAAACTATTACACGTCATCTTGCAAACAAATACAACCGAATACATTGAAATTGTTAGATACATATAAATACATTGTAAGTTCTTTGAATGAACATCTAAACGACATAATTGTGGAAGCTGAAGGCACCATGTTGCATCAGATTTCAGATCCAATCTTGAAGGGAGTGTGCTCTTAGATCATCTTTCAATCAAATTCTATGTAAATCCTTTTATAGTATATTTTACATTCTAACTCACCTTGTTAATTGCAATGTGATATTAGTGCATTAAAGGACATTCATACATTAATCCATTTGAGAGTTTGAGAGTGTAATGTATCATTATTTCAAGTTTTGTTATTCTTGAAAACTATTCTATTCATGCCTACATCTATTATATTTATTCATGTACTATGTTATGTTCTTTACAATAATTTGAATCCAAACATCTGACTAATGGGTTTTGCTTCTAATTTTGTAAAATATACTATAAAAGGATTAACTCTTTAGCATTACATTAGTAATAATAGATTTTCATCCTTTCATATAGGATTTTCAAAATTACAAATACAATTCATTAGTCAGGTAAATGGATCCAATTATATTGAATAAATTCAATAGTAAGGAGTTATAACCAATATATTTAAGAATTCATGTAACTATGAATAATATATATCTACGAAAATTTATAATATTAATATAAAAAAATATTAAATTGATTAAAATGATTATCAAATTTCATCAATACAAGTAGCTGTAAAGAATAAGTTGCGAGAACACAAAAACATAATAAGAACAAATTGCACTCTCAAATTAATTAACACATGTAACTTAATGTACTAACTACACAGAAAAACTTAATAATTTTCTTATATGATATTATGCTGCTAGAAATATACATTTGAACTTTCACAGCAAAGACATTACATATTATACAAAATCTCATTACCTTATTAAATTAGCATCAAGTTACTGATAATGAAGTGTTTATTTTACAAGTGTCAAAGTTTTAATTCATTGAATAATTTATTAATATTATAATCACAAATACACTTATCTCTTTTTAAGTGATATTTGTCTAATGACATTTGCTTAATATTTCTTACAAAAGGAATGCTTTTATATATTTTCTTACTTAGATTATTGCGTTGCATTAAACTTAGAAGCTAATATGATGAGTTTTTCTACATTATCCGAATATTCACTTGATTAGCAGTATAATTCTTTGATTTTAGATATAATATAAATCTTATATACAATAGTGAAGATTGACATAATGTTCTTAATCATTTTAATGTTTTTTCTTGATATTTTTCATTCATTTATGGTATCAGTTGAAATATTTTAATTTATAAAATCTCATATATTAATCAGATATATTCTAATTTAATTTTATATAAACATGTGACTAATGGCTTGTACTCATAGTTTTATAAAATATATTATGAAATGATGAAACTTTAACTTTTATATTAGTTATAATAGATTTTCATCCTTTCACAATAGGATTTCAAATACTACAAAGACAATCCATTAGTTCAATATTTTGAGTCAATTAATTATCAATCCTTAAATTTGATTAATAATAGAATTTAATCAATAGGTGTGATACATTAATATTAATATCAAAATATCTCTAACAATACATCAAATATACTAGTATAAAAAAAATATTAAATAAATTAAAATAACTATCAAATCTCAACAATGCATGTAAACATAGTTAATAGATTTGAATAACAAGAGAAAATGTTAAAAAATAATTTTGATAAACAAAATGCTAAATAGTACCTAATATAGGCATCTCCTTTGTACCTAATATAAAATTCTCCTTTCCTTCACAATGGTGTTCCATTCATTATCTGTCTGAAAAATATAATGGTTTAAAGGATGGGATAACAGTAAATAAATATCATATAATTTAAAGTGAGTTTCAAAATGATACGTAACTTAATGAGAGTAAATAAATAAGATGTGTAAATAATATTCTAATTACCTAAGCTTGAATGATTGTTAAATGTCAAAGTAACCTCCAACATTTAGATTTCCACATCACTAATACACTAAAAAAACACGTCACCATAGAATTTTTTTAAGAAATTCTAGGAATTATACCCTTTGTTCCCTTCAATGGATTTGGGGAGAGTGATTGAATGAATTTGAGAGGATTTGAAGGTAAATATTTTTGTTGTTTATTTGAGTGGATTTGGAGGTAACTGAGAGTGAATTTAGAATTATAATTTGTGAGAATTAGTGTAGGATTTAATTGATGTAACATATTAAAAAAAATTACTTTCAAATCCATTCTCACTTATCTCCAAATCCACTCAAATAAACTACAACAAAATTTACTTTCAAATCCTCTCAAATTCATTCAATTACTCTTTCTTAAATCCATTCAAGTGAACAAAGTGATAGAGACAAATTATTTATTATATCATAATTAAGCTTATATTTTTTTTTATCATTATATATATCTTATTTTATTAATGAATATTCTATGAAACATTTATTTGACTAAAGTAATAATTTTCTTATTGAGTAAAATTTAATTTATACTAATTTTATAAGGTTGTTCATATATTATGATGTATATTCTACAAGATTATGATTTTATATCTATTTTCATGTTTTAAGAAATTAAATAATTGATTTTATTTAACAAAAAATAATAATAATTAAGTAATGATAAAACATTTAGAACTATAGACATAATTGAAGAGACAACGGGCCTCATGTTGGGCTATATAAAGGTCACCAAAAACCCTAAAGTTTCACGACTCATTCCCTCCGCCGCTTCCTTCTGTCTTTCATATTTTGGTTGGAAACCTAAATGCAGAAGCTCATCTCTCACACAGTAAGTTTTCATAAAATAAGTTTTCATAAAATAGTTTATGAATATTCTGAATATATTTTTACATATAGTTTATTTTTTTAACATATGTATCTAACTACATTTATTCATCTCACAAAAGTAAAAAAGAAAGTAAAATAGTCTATCTATCTCAGAATTTAGAACTTCAATTTTTTTAGACATTATCTTAGTTTATACAATCTTATTCACAAATTATATTTTCTATTGTTTAATATTCTGTGATTTTGTTATCAGGTACGAAGAGATCCAACAAATGCATGCATCAAAAATCAATGACGGCTTCTGATCAAATAACGATTTTATCTTTCACAGCAAAAACATTACATAATCATCAGGTTAGCATATAAAAACTACATTCATCTTCGGATCTACATGTTTTAAAACTTGTAATGTATTAAATTAAGTTAAATATATTTTTTATCTCTTCCTTATATATATGATTTTCTTTTTTAAATTTTAGATTAATTTAGTTTCTCATTTTTAAATTTATCTCTTCCTTATATATATGAATTTCATGTAATATTATTTCTTGTTGTGCTTTCTCATCCAAAGTCAGCTATTCTTATATGATATTTTTTATCTGATAGATAATATATTTTTGTACAAATGAGTTTATTATATATAAATGTAAATGTTATAATTGTTTAGAGTATATACGTAGTCATTGAAAAGGTTTTTCAATTTTGTAAAGGAATAATTAAATAATTAAATTATTACCTAATAATTTAATAAAGTAAGGTACTGTCATTGTTAATATTAAATAATGAGAATAATTAATGTTGTTTTATATTACTTCAAATTAAAAGTAATAATCCTTAGCTAACAAGGAGTAATGTAATAGAGTAAATGGAAATTTATGATTAAAATTTAAGTTGATATGCTATTAAGTTACATAATTTTAGCTTTAACTATAATAAAAGCTCACATTCATCTGATAAATGTATTATATTTGTAATTTTTAAAATTTCAATGTTAATAAAAAAGTTTACTGCAGATTTGAATATATATAGTAATGAGTGCATTTACTTTCCAACTCACATGCCATGTATATGTATAAAAAATGCTACTTAACATTAATAAAATGTTGTAATATTCTTTTTTATTATCAATACACTATTACAAAATTCATTATAGATAGCTTATTTAAAAAATCATGGTTCATAAGATGTATTAAATGTATTTTTATTTTGATAGCAAGTTTTTTTAAATATTCTATTTATTATTCTGACGTTCTCTCTTGATTAAGCATAAATTCTTCATTTTTTTAAGCAGAAAATGAGTAGTTCAATTAAACATCGTGAAAAATCGATGTGAAAGTTGAAGATCCCATTGTAACTTTGATGAGGTAGATGAAGATTTAGATATCTTCCCCAGCAAGCAAACATGGGAACCCTGCAGAAAACATAGTCAAAATTGAAAGAAGTCACACTGTAAGGTTATTCTTTTTTTCTTTTTAGGTTCACAATTTTAATGTTATTTAAGTTTTACTTTTTCTTTGATATTATTAACAATTAAAATTTGAGATCTCGTGATTATGCTTATTCTATGTAAAATAGCTGAACTGAAACTATCTGAGAAATTTAATACTTAAATTATTAGATTTTATACAATAAGATAGATAACTGTGTCAGAGATATCTTATTCACAGATAATATTTTCTATTATTCCATCTTTTAAATCATGTCTTTTTTTTATGCAATTAGGAAAGAAAAGATCCAAATACAAGTATGTTATCTCAATGCATAAAAAATCAAGGGACGCTGATGCTAATCAAATGAACATTATATTTCAAAGCAAAAACATTACAGTGTCATCAGGTTAGTATGTAAAAACTACTGTATGTGTTAAAATTTTGATCTTGAAATTTGATGTGAAAGATGAGTACTGTGATACCTTATAAGTGTGGGTAATGGGATAATGTTGAAAAAGATTTTATTAGTTTGAGGTTACATTTTTTATTTTATTGTTAACAATAGGTTATAGTAATATTTAACAACTGTAAATACGTAAATACATAATGGAGAAACAAGTGAGTAATAGTTTGTTCATTGTTGTGATTATCTACATTTATCTTTGTTTCTTATGCTAATGTAATGCTAATTAATTTTCTTTTCAGAAAACACGTTGAGGCTGCTCCTTTTCAATAAGTGTCTATGACTTTTATGTATTTTTTTACTAAATTTTTCATATGTTTTTGTTTCATTTTAATATGTATAAAGAGAACAAATGATAGTATTTGAGAGTAAATGCAAAAGTAACTAAATTATGTTAAATGTATTCTGATTTTATGGCTTTTAATCTCAAGATATATTTTTATTATGTTTCATGTTAATGATATTTCTTTTCATACTCTCTATTTTTATTTTCCTTGGGAGAGAAATTTAAAACATTTCTTTACCATTACTATAATATATTCATTATCATTTAAAAACATGGGTAATAAAAGAACTTAATTTGATTATATATATATTATTAATTAATTATTATGAAAGTTTCTTTGACTCATAAAAGTAATACATGGTTGGAAAAAGAAAAGGAAAACTTTCTTTGACTCATAAAAGTTATTGTGGATTTGATATGAAAATGTAATATATGTGATTTTGATTGGTATACAAACGTTAAAAATGGAGACATATACAGCGTTATGTTGTGGTGTCAGTCACCCCATGCGTGTTATCGCATACGAATCTACAAGTATAGAATTCACCTATAGATTAATAATATTAAATAGATTAACATGAAAACATTAATGTAGTATTGAGATGCTGAACTAAGTAACAAAACACATTATTTACCATTCTATTAAAGTTGGTTTTTTCTATAAAAAGCGATGTTTTATTCTTACTTTTTGACTTCAAAACTTATTAATCTTAAAATGTGATCATCGTAATAATGGCATTGTTATGTGGTCAATGAAAAAATTTTAAAATTTAGATCATTATGTTGCATGAAATAGTAATTGAAAAATTTAGTAATAAAGAGATATCAGATTCGTAGAATGTTGCTAATTTATGACGTTTCAAGGACAAATTTCGATAAAGTTGGAATGTATTATAGATGTCAAAATCAAAAGCAATATTTTATTTATATTAATATATAGCTTATTGACAAAATTTAAATTAAGATAATCAATACATTTTATAAAGTACTTATAAAATTATTAGAAATGTTTCTTTACTTTAATGTTAGTGAAGAATGAGGCTAAATTTCTACGCTATCGAAAATGGACTTTGAAATTCGAATGCGCCATTGAATTTTCTGACAACAAAGTCTATACAAAAGAGAGTTGATATTTTCACTTTTTTTTATATATTATTTGATATCATTTTTATTATACAATGGGCATTGAAACTGAAAAACCTGAATATATTTTGTTTGAGAGTAAGTAAATATTTATTCACACTCTCATACATATTTTTCGAATATTTAATAATATATATATATATATATACTTAAGTATTGTAAGAAACATTTTTTAGATAAAACAATAAATTTTAAAGTGTTTGAATTTACTATTTTAAAAACATTTATACAATCACTATCTTTTAATATAAAAAAATAATAATAAGTTTTTGCAACTATGGTGGATGATGATATTTGTGTATATCAGTTAATCTAATTGGCTAAAAAGTTTTTACATTTCTCTCAGCGTCTCCTTTCTTTATATTTTGGTGGAAAAATCTGTTATTCATGACAATGAATGAGTTCAAGATTTCTTACCGTTCCAGACAATTGAAGATGACTATGATGTACCAATGTCATTGGCTGTGAAAAAAACACGAAGCTCAGTTTAAAATCATGGTGTTTATTCAGATATTCAGCCGTGCATGGAAATAATGTGTAGCTCTTTTTTTAAGTGATGCCTCTTCTTATCTTCTGTGCACAATGGCAGAACACATTATGCATAAAGCAGTAGATAGCATTTGCATTATCGAATGAGATGATTGGTTCATTTAATTAAATTTTTGGAAAGTAATAAATGATTATTGAAATCAGATGTCCAAGTTGCACTAACTTACTTGCGTGAAAGTGAAACTTTTATAAGATAGCATTATCTTGATTTTATGCACACATACATAATAAATAATACATAGAATACATGCTGGAATTCTTTGGAATTAAGCTGTTTAGGAGACTGATCAAGTAGACTAATATAATTTAGATTAAACTTATTTACAATTAACCGTAATAAGCAAGTTTATAATGAAAATAAGAACAAAGAAATAACAGAGGTATAGATTTTAATATAATTCCTGAAATTTAACTTATTTACAGCTGTTGTATCTCAGAAAGTTGTGAATGCACAGTAATTGCATGGCTGCCATTTGCATCCAAACACCTGAATCAGTTTCTGTCCTAACAGTCCCTAAGGTTATAACATTTTCTTGTGTATGCTACAATATGTTAGTTTATTTAAAATAAATTATTAATTACTGTAGAGTTCATTGTTTACATTTAATAATTTAAAATACTAAGACAAAGCACTCGTTTTTATGTTGATTAAAGTTTTTTACTACGTATGGGGAAGTAGGGAAAATTGTAAAACAGTAAAACGTAATTGGCGGGGATAAAATACTGGTATGTAATATATACAAAAAATAAATGTAAATTAAGGTAAGGTAAGTAAAGTGTGTGTGGTGTATGGGTGATCAGTGTAAAAAAATAAACTGTAGTAACTAAGGAGGTAAGTATGGTAAAGTTGGGTAAAAAAAGTAATAAGGTCTGAAAAATTCTTTATGATTACTAATATTTTTTATATATTTGTAATATCTCTTTTTAAACAATATATGTTCATTATTTTCATTAGACGAGATATATATGGCACATTGTTTACGTCTAAGTATTAGTTTCAACAATATACATGCCTCTCGTTTCAATCCAAACACCATGAATCACTGTCATTATAAGCTTCAAATCTAATAAATGTTTACAATTAGCAACATATTTAATCAACTAGAAAAGTTAATTAAAAATATATATATACCAAAGAGTCTTGACAGTTATCCAAACCTATTAATATAAACAATTAATATTTAATAATATAAATATTATTATGTACATGTAGTAACGTATGGTATATGCTTATCTACATAGATAGTTGTAGACTAGACAAAACTAGGCTCACATCACAATTACTCACTTAGAGATGAGAGTGAATAGTAGATCATCCAATGATAAGATTCTTCATTCATTAAATACTCTACTTAAATTCAATCACAAATATAAAACTTGAAAAACAACTTTATAACCTATCATCTTCGCCTTACACGTAAACTATCAGTTGTAATCCTATTCTTTAAACACTTACGTGTTATTAAATTTATGTAAACAGCTATAAATATAATAAAACTTTAAATACACTATAATCGAACCCGATAGTAAGGTCAGCTATATAAAGGTAACTAAAACCTCTAAACGCACGTAATTCATTCGTTCACCAACTGATCTTACCTTTTTCACATCATGATTCATATTGTTAAGTCCCTAATCACTATAACTTATATCATTAGATGTAAGTCAATAAAACTATGTTAATAAACGATTTGTATTTTTAAATAATAAATATGTTAAAATAATGACTATTGTAAATTATAATATTGGTATGTTGACATGACCTAGTTTATGTTCTTGTATATTCTTAATTTATTTTACATCTAGTTTATGTACTTGTATTACAAATTATATTTCCTATATTTATCTTTGGGATTTTGATATCAGGTAAAAGAGATCAAAAATTCAATGGCGGCTGCTAATCAAATAAAAGGATTTTATCTTTCACAGCAAACACATTTACTGTATCACGGGTAGCATATAACAACTACAAATACTGCTTCAGATATACTGTGCACAGTCACAAAAATAATATATTAAATTAAGTTAAATATATTTGTCAAAAAAAAAATTTACCGGAGGATTGAAAAAAATATGATTACTTTTATTGTTTGTATTGTAATCATGTTACTGGCTTGTTTTGTAATGTGTTTTTTTTTTTTCTTAAATAAATAATATAATTAGCATTCTCTTTTACAAGTATGATCTTAATTCTCATATGAAGACAAAACATACTCTCGTATTCTCTGATCAAATCACGAGCATTAATAAATTAAAAAAAAGTTTATCTTTCAACTGTTGAATTTTGCGTCAGTGAGAGAAAATAATTTAGAATTTTTGCAGAAAGAGCTTCCATACGATGAGTTTTTGCAGGAAGAATTTTTGCGAGTATTCAGGTATATTTTGATTCTTCCAACAATACTATGCATCTTATTATTTATTCATATTTGAACTAACTTAATCACTTCCTTTCATTATTTATTAGGGCTAGAATTTATTGCTACACAGTAGAATAGAATGCAGTTTAAACGAAATTTCCTAATTTCACTGGCGAATATATTTATAGGTTCCCTATAACTTATTAATGTATCATCATGGAGCGTCACCCTTTTTCCATATCTAAGGGTAGAATATACATAATATATGAACTAACATTATAAAATCATAATTGATATACTTAAAATTCGTTAAGTCTGAGTATATTTAGAATGATAATGCATAAAACATGCGAGTAAGTTTTCTACATCATTTCATGAATATTTATTTTTGGGTCATTGCCTCGCATAAAAAAAATATTTATTTTTATAATTGTCTCTCAATGGATTTAATAACTAGGATTTGAACGTTATTTTCATTGAATTAATCTATTTAAAATAATTAAATTTTTATAAATTTTTATTTCTTAAAATATATAAGAATAACTTTTATAATTTTTTGATTTTAAGCATAAACTTTAGCAATATATATTGAAATAAAAGTATATACCAAAAATTAAATTTTCAATTTAACTAAAATTGTTAATAGAAAGATTTAATGAAAGACCTTTCCGGAAAACAAAACTTAGTTAATGACAAATATAACAAAAATACTCGTATTAATGGACAATTAATAGCTATAGACAAATTGAGCCATTGTCTCTCTTATCAGAATACATTGAATTGTGTACATATGGTTATATCCAATGAATTTACCACATATTCAAATGCATCCCATAATGAATACTTAAGACATTATGCAATCTGTATACTTAACATTTTTAGCGTCGCCATACATGTCTT